GCCGGTCGCGATGTGAGGACGACGGCGCTGATGAAGCCGCTCGTCGTAGGAAGGCGAGTGTCGCCATCCAGGAAGGGAATGGCAAGCCCACTCGCTAGCTCAAGACACTCGGCGCTTGAGGAGGCCGGTCTTGAGATGATGGATCACGTTGAGGCTGGGTGGCCGTTCGTGATCTGAGGACGACGACGCTGATGAAGCCGCTCGTCGTATGAAGGCGAGGGTCGCCATCCAGGAAGGGAATGGCGAGCCCGCTCGCTAGCTCAAGACGTCCGGCGCTGAGGAGGACGGTCTTGAGATGAAGGATCACGTTGAGACCGAGGGGTCTGCCGTGATCTGAGGACGACGGCGCTGATGAAGCCGCTCATCGTATGAAGGCGACGGTCGCCATCCAGGAAGGGAATGGCGAGCCCGCTCGCTAGCCCAAGACACTCGGCGCTGAGGAGGCCGATCTTGAGATGAAGGATCACGTTGAGACTGAAGGGTCTGCCGTGATCTGAGGATGACGGCGCTGATGAAGCCAGTCGTCTGAAGATGAAGGGCGGCGCCGGGCGCCTGTCCTCTGAGGATGACGGTGCCGATGAGCCTGTTTGAAAATGAAGGACGGCGTTTGGACGCTCGTCTGAAGATGAGGGACGGCGCTGATGAAGCCGGTCCTTTGTTTAAGGACAAGGCATCGCGTCTGTCCGAAGATGAGGGACGGCGCTGGCGCTCGTCTGATCCGTATGTATGGTCTTGCTTCGTCCATAATGCATAGTATTTGCCTGATATGTACTCAGCCAAATATGTGGCTTGATTTGTGGGGATTTTATTTTTATCGCTTGAGGCCGGCGAGTGCGCGGTCCTCGGCTTCCCTCTTTCTATTTGTGAGGATTTCGCTTGAGGCCGGCGAGTGCACGATCCTCGGCTGTCCCTCTTTTGATTTGTGGGGATTTCGCTCTAGGCCGGGGAGTGCACGGTCCTCGGCTTTCCCTCTTTTATTTGTGGGGATTTCGTCGAGGCCGGCGAGTGCACGGTCCTCGGTTGTCCCTCTTTTATTTCCTCCTCTACTGCTATGAGCGAGGAGTGGGGGTCCTTCTTTCAGGCTCGACCGAGGGGGTTGCTATTCCCTCGGCCGATAGGGAGTCCAGGAGGGCAGCTGTCCGGCCTCTGGCGCTGGATCGTCCCTTGATCTTGGGGGGTCCCGTCGTCTGTTTACGGCGCGGGCTAGGCTTTTGGTCAGTTCCCAACCCCAAGTGTGGGGATTTTGTCATCTCGGCCATTCTTTCAGGCCTGTCGTAATGCGATTTAGCGCGAAGACGACGCGATGAGCTTCCCGTTTCAAGACGTGGGCCGTTTGCGGGCCCCTCGTCCTGGGACGTCGTTGGCCATACCTGAGTGTTTTGCTCGAAGGGGCCGGAACGACGTTCTTTGTTGTGTTGCGTCGTCGGCCATGCCTGAGCGTTTCGCTCGAAGGGGCCGATGTGACGTGCTTTTTTGCGTGGCATCCTTTACTTAAATTTTACAAGAAATAAGCGGGATACAATAGGTGTGTTGTTCATGGTAACAGCTTTTATTAAGGTCAGTGGCTCGAGGCCGAGGGTGGTAACCTTCTCAACAACCCGTAAATGAGTTAGCTTCTCAATGAGCTTCTGACCTTGGGGTGGGGGCTCTGTCGTCTGCACCCTCTTCGGATTGCTTCGAAGAAGGGCACAATCAGCGGATGTGACGCTTCTTCGGCTGGAGATCCTCGAAGTCCTCGTTGAATCAAGGACCAGCGTTGAATCAAGCGCTCAATGGCTTTCTTTAACGCGACGCAGTTGTCTGTATTGTGGGAGGTGTTCTTGTGGTAACGGCAATAAGTGCCGCCCTGGTGGACGGCATAGACTCCCGTGGCCAACCGGGGATCTCTGGGGATGAGACCTTGCTCATCCGCATAGTCGAGGATGGTATCCACCGAGTGCGTGAGTGGAGTCCTTGGGACGTCCATCCTCGGCTGCCATGGGCGCTCCTTCCGGTTCTGGCGGGCATGGCCTCCGGCTGAGGATGCGCTTGGAAACGACACATTGTTTGTCTTCTTTAATGGCCGGCCTCCATCCTTCTTGCGGGAGTGGAGCTCATCGGTGTACAAGCTCCCTCTCTAGAGTGCCTTGGTGTATGACCTCGGCGGGTCAGTGATGAGGCTCCTCGCATAGGGGCTGCTGCGGAGAACGCCTTGGAAGAGGACGAGGAGGGTGCGCTCATCGGCACCTTCGACCTCATCTGTCTCCTTTGTCCATCAGTCGATGAAAGACCGAAGTGATTCATCGTGTTGCTGTTTGATGGAGAGGAGATGGGAGAAATGTTTCTTCATGCGCTTCCTTCCGGCGAAGTGGGTGAGGAAGCGTTGGGCAAGATCCTGCCACGAGTCTATGCTTCCTTCGGGGAGCGCGTTGAACCACTCGTACGCTGGTCCTTCAAGAGTGGAAAGGAACCAACGACAGAGGTATTCATCCGACGCGTTCACCATCAGCATGTTGTTCTGATAGCGGCTCAAATGTTCCTGGGGGTCGGAACGGCCGTCATAGGGCTTGATGGCGTTTCCCCTGTACTTCTCGGGGATAGGGGCCGAGAGTACCCTGGCAGTGAAGGGAGTCCTCGTCCTGACTTGGATGATGGGGTCTTCTCGTCCTTCGGCCAACTTCCTCTCAAGGATGATGACCTTGTGGAGGAGGGCGTTGAAGCCGGGATGCCTGGATGAGTTGCTCGTGGGTGTGGCGGCCAGCTGTTTGGCCTCCATCTGGGCGAGTCTTTGCTCCAGTTGGGCGATCACCTTGTCCCGGGGGTCTTTGGCGGCCATGTTGGCGCCATGCGTCTGTAGGAGGGTTGCGTGAGCCGTGTTGATTTGGTGGCGTGCGTCACCCTCGTGCAGCTAACCCTTGCCTTTGTCCGGGTGGGGCCGATCCGCTGTCCGGGATACGGACCCCAAGCTTTCCCTTGGTGAGCCAGGCTCACGTTCACCAATCCGTCCCGCCATCCTCTTCGAAGCAGACCGACGGCGCGTGTCACCTAGCCTATTAAAGGCCGAGGCTTTTCCACGCGTTGGGGCCGGTCCAGCTCGAAGTGGGGAAGCAGGGTGGGAGTGGGATGACGACGTGTCCTGGGGCACCACCCCTTCGTCGTTGCCTAGCTTGATGGTCAACGGCTGGGGCTGAGGAGGCGGTGTCGTGTTCTCCCCCGTCCTCGGCATGAGTGCACTGAGGACGGTGGGGTTCTGGGCCAAACTGGCGATGATGGCTGAGAGCGCGGCCTGAAGCTGAGGGTCAATAGTTGGAGAGGCCGGCTGCGCCGAGGCGTTGTCGCCTTTTTCCGCGCGCTTCTTCTCCAAGCCGATGCGGGCGTCTGGGGCGCCGCCGTTGAGCTTGTTGCGTAGGTCACCTGCGAGGTCGATGGCTTCCTGGAAGACATCCCTCTCGGCGGCCTTGTCGGCCATAGCATCCTCCTCGTGCTCTTGGTTCTCCTGTGCCTCGGGGATGGCCTTGCTGAGGAGGTTGCGGTTTGACTTAGTTCTTCCCATTGTCAGTTAGCTGTGTTTGGTAGCGACGAAGGAGGCTAACTTGATTGTTCTAGCTCTAAATGAAAGCACCAAATGATAGACTATAAGTCTAGAGAGAAGTGAGAGCTAGAGATAGGGATGGACTCGGGTCCGGGCCGGGTCCGGGTCAGGCCTAGGCTCAGGCGGGCCGGCGGTTCAGAAATGGTGGACCCGGGACCGGCCCGGGTAACCACCGGGTCTGGTCCAGGTCCGAGCCGGGCCCATTATCATTTTTTTTTGTTTTCCTCTTCCTAATTAACCCCCCTCCCACCCCCAACCCCCCAAACCACCCCCAAATGGCCCAAAATACCCAGCCCAACCCGAAAATTGAAAAAAAAAATAGAAAAAAAAATATAGGTTTTGGCCCGAACCGGGCCCGGCCGGGTCGGGCCTTGTTTTGGGTGACCCGAGCCCGGACTGGAAAACCCACGGGCCGGGCCTACCTGGACCGGTCACTGACCGGGCCACCGGGTCGGGCCGGGCCGGTTCCGGGTCGGGCCACCCGGCCCGAGTCCATCCCTGGCTAGAGAGAGAAGTAGTATATTTGCTTTGTATTAATGAATTGTGAACCCTTTACATGGCTCCCAAGGGGAGTATTTATAGAGGAAATTAGGGTCGGCCCGAGTCCATCCGGTTCTGGGAGTTCTCTGTGGCCAAAGGAGGTTCAGCCGATGGAGACACGGCCGACGGAGGACCATCCGAGCTGATTGCTACTTGGGCCATATTCTAAGCTGATTGTTGCTTGGCCGACGGGGGCGCCAGCCGACGAAGGCACTAGCCGACGGGGGCACTGGCTGACGGGGGCACCGGCCGATGGAGGCACTGGCCGACGGGGGCACCGGCCGACGGAGGACAATTCTTCTCCGTGGCTTCTGGACCGTATTCTGGATCGACTCTTCTACGGCTGATGGGGGGTCACCTGGCCGAAGGAGGACCCACTGGATGACAGCTGCGCTTCCTCTTAGTCTTCTGAGTATGTGGGTCATGAGGTTTGAACCCATATACTCCATCAGTACTACGTGTATGCTTATAAATTACTCCCTCCGTCCCAAAAACAACTTCACAGTCACTATTCATTGGTCAACTTGAATCACTCCTAATCTTTTATTTTATATATCAAATTTTTATCAAATTTTAATTTTCTTGATCAGGCTTTGTAGTGGTTTTAATGTAATTCCTGAATATGTAAATTTTATTTAGTAAAAATAATCTGAGTGTGAACAGGGATCAAGTTGCTTTATCGTCGGTCAAGCATCGTAAACCGAATGGGAAGTTAATTTTGGGACGGAGGTAGTATACTCGTATAATCATCAAATCATGGAAATTGGTTAGTGTTCAAGAAATAGCCTGTGAACAATGATTAATAGAAGGCATAAAAAACATAATGTACAAGCAACATGAAAGTAACTGTACTGGAAAGCAGATAGCAGGTAAGCAACAAAAAAGTTGGCCACGCAATCCAAATTGAGCATGTCAGCGTAACAAGAAAATGAGATTAACAATAGGACCACAATTCAATTACACCATGAGTTTACAGAAAACCACACAGAGCATGCAAACCAGGCAGCGCAGAGTAAGCAAAAATATTAGAATATACGAATATAATAATAATCATTATAAAAGAAAAGTGACAACAGCATTTCCTACCTTTGACTATACAATATGTAAATGAGAAACATGCAAAGTTCACTCACATTCATATCCATTATTTAGTTGTTTGTGAAGAAGATGAAGGGTCAACAGCAACCGTCAAAGAGGACAACCGGACGGTATCTGGGCTTTTGAGCATTTCAAGTTGCTTCTTACCACGACGAAGCAAGTACTCAATGTACAAGAAATTCTTACGGTCAACTTGAACGGCATTCCGACGAAACTCAGCCGACACCAGACACTCAATCTGCCTTCTCTCTTCTTTCTGAGGTTTGGACTGTGCTGCTCTTAAGAATTGCCTGTAAAGTGAGAGCACCTGTTTTTGCATTCCAGAAAGCTGCTTTTGACCCCTAGACCCGCCCCCCATACTAATCAGCCTTTGTTTTCTTTCTTCAAGACTCCTGCCTGCTTAGTAAGCTTCAAATTGTTAGAGAAGAGCAATATCAAAATGCCAATTCCTTTTGGAAAGAATGACCAATATAACTCTTTGTAATGGACAAAAACAAGAGTACCTGTAATATTTCTAAAGAAGTGACTAATAGCTCGTTTGATAAGCCCTCAACAATTTTCCCAAACATGTAACTCTTTATTTCGCGCGCTAGATTGTATAATAATTTTCCATCATTTTCAATGGTGCCAAAGACTCACTATTTTTTGGCTTGGGAATATGATGGAATAAAGCAAAATGATTCACTAAACTTTCTACGCTTCTTTTTCATGAAGTCGCAGTCGGTCCATGCAATTTCCTACGTGATTTTCATCATGGGTCATTCAGAAACAATCTCTTTGTGTTTAGTACAGCTGTACAGGGGTAAGGCTGCATACATCCGACCCCCTTATCACACTGTAGGAGGGAGCCTTTGCGGCACTGGGGTAATGTTGTTGTTGCTAGATTGTGTAATAATCACAATAAGTACAATTGGAGGTACTTTTGTGACTAAATTGAATAAAGTACTTTAGATGACCATTTAGCTATTTTTCCATATATATTTTCTTTACTTTCTTAGAAAAAATTATTCTAAATATCATTTCTCTATAATTAGCAAATTCAACCTCTTCAGACAAGAACTTTATCAATTTCAGCAGATTTAACTAACAATTTCAGCAGATTTAACTAATTCCAGATTTAACTAATTCCTGGTAAATCAAATGGGTTAACCTCTAAATCATTTTGAACCCTAAATATATCTCCATCTTGTTTCTCTCCACCTTACTTCCCCATTGTCACTGCTACTGCCACCAATCGGTGTATCACATCGAAAAATTGGCTGAAAAAAGTTACCTACAAAAATATTTGCTGGTGACACTACTGTCAGTGGCAATGGTGAGGTAATTTTAATAAAAGTGACATATTTACTCCCTGTTTTGGAATATTTATAAAGTAGTCACATGCTTGTAATATTAGAAATAAATTTCATTATTTTGTTACTAAAGAAAAGAAAGAAACTCTATACTAGACGGATGCCGAAAGGAGAATAACTAAAAAACACGCAAGACATTTGTTTGTAAATATAATATTGAAGAAAAAATTCAGGATTTGGACTTGCGGTTCTCCTCAGAAAGGTTTTTTATAATAAGTTTCATGTGATATACAACACGAAAAATTCAACACACCACAACAAATATACACCCTCAGTTCCACAACCAAGTTCCAGCTTTCCTTGCTCAGTTACTTGTTTGTCCTGACTCCAAGATAAATTTCTCTTTTCCCTACCATAACTTGGGTAGTACTACTCAGCTGTTAATCTTTTGCATTACGGCCGTACCTTTATTGAGCCTCAGGGCCCCAAAAAATGTAAGAAAAATAGGGCCCCGAAAAAAATCATATATATATAGAGAGTCATTCTCCTGTCCAGCAATTTTCTGTCCGAACGTCGTCCGAACACCGCCGTTTGGGGCGGTTCCCGGTGGAATTGTTTGATGAAATTTTTTGGGCATGTTCATAATCAAGTCTAGTTTATCCATACCAAATTTCAGATCAAAATTCGATCAGGAAGGCAGTCAAATAATTCATTGAAGTTAACTGCGCCAAATTATACATAGAAAAACGCAGTTAACTTCAACGAATTATTTGACTGCCTTCCCGATCGTGTTTTGCGCTGAAATTTGGTATGGATAAATAAGACTTCATGAGGAACATGCTCAAAAAAAATTCATCAAAAAATTCCACCGGGAACCGCCCCAAACGGCGGTGTTCGGACGGTGTTCGGACCGGGAGGTGCTGGACCTGAGAATTTTCGTATAGATAGATAGATAGATAGATAGATAGATAGATAGATAGATAGATAGATAGATAGATAGATAGATAGATAGATAGATAGATAGATAGATAGATAGATAGATAGATAGATAGATAGATAGATAGATAGATAGATAGATAGATAGATAGATAGATAGATAGATAGATAGATAGATAGATAGATAGATAGATAGATAGATAGATAGATAGATAGATAGATAGATAGATAGATAGATAGATAGATAGATAGATAGATAGATAGATAGATAGATAGATAGATAGATAGATAGATAGATAGATAGATAGATAGATAGATAGATAGATAGATAGATAGATAGATAGATAGATAGATAGATAGATAGATAGATAGATAGATAGATAGATAGATAGATAGATAGATAGATAGATAGATAGATAGATAGATAGATAGATAGATAGATAGATAGATAGATAGATAGATAGATAGATAGATAGATAGATAGATAGATAGATAGATAGATAGATAGATAGATAGATAGATAGATAGATAGATAGATAGATAGATAGATAGATAGATAGATAGATAGATAGATAGATAGATAGATAGATAGATAGATAGATAGATAGATAGATAGATAGATAGATAGATAGATAGATAGATAGATAGATAGATAGATAGATAGATAGATAGATAGATAGATAGATAGATAGATAGATAGATAGATAGATAGATAGATAGATAGATAGATAGATAGATAGATAGATAGATAGATAGATAGATAGATAGATAGATAGATAGATAGATAGATAGATAGATAGATAGATAGATAGATAGATAGATAGATAGATAGATAGATAGATAGATAGATAGATAGATAGATAGATAGATAGATAGATAGATAGATAGATAGATAGATAGATAGATAGATAGATAGATAGATAGATAGATAGATAGATAGATAGATAGATAGATAGATAGATAGATAGATAGATAGATAGATAGATAGATAGATAGATAGATAGATAGATAGATAGATAGATAGATAGATAGATAGATAGATAGATAGATAGATAGATAGATAGATAGATAGATAGATAGATAGATAGATAGATAGATAGATAGATAGATAGATAGATAGATAGATAGATAGATAGATAGATAGATAGATAGATAGATAGATAGATAGATAGATAGATAGATAGATAGATAGATAGATAGATAGATAGATAGATAGATAGATAGATAGATAGATAGATAGATAGATAGATAGATAGATAGATAGATAGATAGATAGATAGATAGATAGATAGATAGATAGATAGATAGATAGATAGATAGATAGATAGATAGATAGATAGATAGATAGATAGATAGATAGATAGATAGATAGATAGATAGATAGATAGATAGATAGATAGATAGATAGATAGATAGATAGATAGATAGATAGATAGATAGATAGATAGATAGATAGATAGATAGATAGATAGATAGATAGATAGATAGATAGATAGATAGATAGATAGATAGATAGATAGATAGATAGATAGATAGATAGATAGATAGATAGATAGATAGATAGATAGATAGATAGATAGATAGATAGATAGATAGATAGATAGATAGATAGATAGATAGATAGATAGATAGATAGATAGATAGATAGATAGATAGATAGATAGATAGATAGATAGATAGATAGATAGATAGATAGATAGATAGATAGATAGATAGATAGATAGATAGATAGATAGATAGATAGATAGATAGATAGATAGATAGATAGATAGATAGATAGATAGATAGATAGATAGATAGATAGATAGATAGATAGATAGATAGATAGATAGATAGATAGATAGATAGATAGATAGATAGATAGATAGATAGATAGATAGATAGATAGATAGATAGATAGATAGATAGATAGATAGATAGATAGATAGATAGATAGATAGATAGATAGATAGATAGATAGATAGATAGATAGATAGATAGATAGATAGATAGATAGATAGATAGATAGATAGATAGATAGATAGATAGATAGATAGATAGATAGATAGATAGATAGATAGATAGATAGATAGATAGATAGATAGATAGATAGATAGATAGATAGATAGATAGATAGATAGATAGATAGATAGATAGATAGATAGATAGATAGATAGATAGATAGATAGATAGATAGATAGATAGATAGATAGATAGATAGATAGATAGATAGATAGATAGATAGATAGATAGATAGATAGATAGATAGATAGATAGATAGATAGATAGATAGATAGATAGATAGATAGATAGATAGATAGATAGATAGATAGATAGATAGATAGATAGATAGATAGATAGATAGATAGATAGATAGATAGATAGATAGATAGATAGATAGATAGATAGATAGATAGATAGATAGATAGATAGATAGATAGATAGATAGATAGATAGATAGATAGATAGATAGATAGATAGATAGATAGATAGATAGATAGATAGATAGATAGATAGATAGATAGATAGATAGATAGATAGATAGATAGATAGATAGATAGATAGATAGATAGATAGATAGATAGATAGATAGATAGATAGATAGATAGATAGATAGATAGATAGATAGATAGATAGATAGATAGATAGATAGATAGATAGATAGATAGATAGATAGATAGATAGATAGATAGATAGATAGATAGATAGATAGATAGATAGATAGATAGATAGATAGATAGATAGATAGATAGATAGATAGATAGATAGATAGATAGATAGATAGATAGATAGATAGATAGATAGATAGATAGATAGATAGATAGATAGATAGATAGATAGATAGATAGATAGATAGATAGATAGATAGATAGATAGATAGATAGATAGATAGATAGATAGATAGATAGATAGATAGATAGATAGATAGATAGATAGATAG